GTGAGAGAAAGAAAGTGGTGGCTAGGGTTTGTGAGAAATGATTTCTGCAGAGTTTCAGTAGGAATTTAGACGTACCTCTACTCTTGTGTGTGGCTATGCTTTTATAATGGTCTTGGAGGCTAGGGTTTCAGAGGAATAATTCCGTAGATGGAAGGGAATTATTCCTCCCCTTTTTGGAATTGATTTGATTAATTAGGGATTTGATTTATTAGGGTAAATCAAATCCCTAATTGTGGTAGGTATCAAATCAAATCCTAATTCAATTGGGTAACTCCTCATTTAATTGGGAATCGTGGTAATTAACCAAATCAATTTTTAACCCAATTAGGCAATGTTCAATTTAATTGGGTAATCCCCAATTAAATTGAGTAACTCCCAATCAGGTTAATTAATTCCCAATTAGGTCAAATAATCCCCAAATGGAATGAATTATTTGACCTATGGTTTTGATTTAATTTGGTTACCACAGACACCCTTTAAAATAAAGGAGGATGTATCTGGCATCATGGACATGGAGGAGGGGCTTGGATTTGTCACTGGTTTTGCAGAATTCAACAACTTTCTAGTTGGCATCCATGCTGGGGGGACAGATGTTGTTGCTTTTCATTTGGATCCAAAGGGCATCCCCAAGATGGTTGGGGAGCTATTTGAGCTTCGGAAGGTTTTGTGTCCTTTTCTAGCGTGCTCCTCAAACTTCATCTCCCATATGAGTGGTGATGATGGCCTCATGTGCACAATGATTGGTGGCTGGGATCCGTGGGATTAGTATTGTGTATGGTAGTGGTTTTCCAACTGCTCGTTACAAGCCTTGCTGGTGGTGATCAATTCCTTGTCAATGCACATATCAAGGCCTTTGAAAGTTATTATTTCAAAGAGCCTGGCGATCCATGTCTCCTCCCAGTTGCTCTTGGGTAAGAAATTATTATAAGTCCCTCAAACAAATATTTGCTTTCGGTTTAGTTTTTTACTAGCAATGGTGCCCGCACGATGCTGCAGGTTTTAAAACCGTGTGAAATGTGTAGGAAAGATGGTACTATTTATATAGTCATGGAGATCTAAATAGTGGCATCATGCTTTGTTTAGCAAGTCTAAGTTACAAAAAAAATATGATAATAACATGTTTTTTATGTTGTTTGTCTTGATTAAAATACTGACCATATTTTAATAAATCAAGTAACAGTCAAAACATCAAAATATCGACAATATTGAGCTACTCATTGTTCAAAAGAGTTTGGATAGGTCTTTATATATATGCCACTGGGTGGTGGAAGAGGATTTTTCTGCCTTGATCTCTGTTAGAATGGGTTCTCTCTCTTGTTAGCTCCGCTGTAGAGGTGGCTTATGTTCTTTGTTGTCCTCTGCAGAGGTTTTAACTCTGTTGATACAAATTTGGAAAATGACAGGTGTTAATGTAAGCAGAATAAAGGCAAAAATAACAGGCTATGGGTTATAGTTTTGTTCATTACATCTAAAACATCTGATAAGGCCATCAAATTAGTATTAGGCCACCAAATTTAAACACCACATTAGTATTAGGCCATCAAATTTTTTCCATCTCTTTCATTTGTAAACTCTAATGGGTTTGAACAAAATGTACTCATCACCTACCCCTCAATTGGTGGGAACAGTTTTTTACCAACGCCCTTAAACTATATAAATAACTACATTTAAAAAGTAGGCAAACAGATAACAAACAAACAGGAATTCTCATCTTTCACCAAAAACAAACACTTTCACCTCTGAGTAACAATAAATTGCAGAAATTGTAAATTGAAATAAAGTTATGTTCCTGTATTCAATGAAAGAGAGCAAACTTACATTTGAATCTGCAGTGAAGTTGAAATACTGGAATAAGATTCTCAGGACCAAGAAAACAATTCCAACAATAATACCCAATGACTCAGGCCCTGCAAAACACAAATGGAACATTAACTATAAAAGATAAGTTGGGGGTATGAAACATCATACTAATATAACAGACTACTTATATTTGGAAAAGCAAAAAGAGGATCTTCTCCGGTGCACACTTCATAATATTTGGATTTTGCATTTTCTAAAACAAACCTTCTGAAATGGAAATCCAAATTTCTCACTAAAATTAATTTCTAGGGAATACAAAAGGAAAAACCAAAGTCAAAACTATGGATGATAATCACTGTGCCTTAATTGTCTAAATCATTGATGCTGCAAATCATCAAATTTTTCATAAACAACAGTCTAAACAATGAGCTCCAAAGACTCAGTAACATAGATGAAAGAGTTGAGCTGCAAATTTAGCATGCAGCAGAACCTATATAATTTTGGTTTTCCATGTGAGATAAGACAGTCTCAATTAATTAATCCGTTGCAACACTGTTTTGGATATGAAGGAATATAAAAAATATGGACCCCAACAGAAATCACAACCTCTGTTACATTTCCTTTTCTCATACCAACAAATGGAAACACGAAAATATGAGGATATGAAGTGAAGACTGGTTTGTTTTCAAATTCATTCAGAAGACAATAACATCTTAATTGTGAGCGAAGACAGTTCCTACAACTCTGTCCTTGTGTATCATAAAGTTCTAATTCATCAAAATTATCTATCAGCCTCTGCATGTAGAATGCGAAACAGCAATCTGCTTATATACCAAAAAACAAATAGACACACAAACACATACATATTACAACTAAAATTATTACAATTGTGGTTCATTAGGCACAAATAACTTGAGTTTAATTAATTAGCACCACAATAAATAAGTCGATAATCTGAAGCCACCATAATACCAAGTTCACATGATGCCTTAAATCTTAAACCTAAAAATTGGTTAGAATATTACCCCGGAGAAGTTTTATGTGCTGGTTCCACCTTCAGTTTTTGAAGCTGACCAGTAAAGAAAATATCCACCTGATCATTCAATGCAATGAGAACAAAAACTCAACAAAATTACTTGCAGCAGAGAGTGCTTCAAAATTTACCTGATCTGCAAGTTCAATGATAAAGAAGTCTTCTGCACCACCAACCAGAAAAGCATTTGAAAAAAGAGGAAGTTGCCTTAAGAAGCTCCTGAGTTTGTCAACTGCATGAATCAACACATTACTGGAGAATTTACAATTTCTTGATTCAGCCTGAGTCATAAAAAAATATAAACCTCGAAAGTAAAAGAAATAGATCTCACTGTACCTGAGAATTAATGAAGAATTCTGAAGTTAATTTTAAATTTCAATGCTAAATATATTGGCTCCTTAATCAATGTCATGGCAAAAGTTCCCCATAAAAGTTAAAAAAAAGCATGAACTCCTGACCTACGGGGATTTTATTCAACCATTTGGGCTCCAAAGCAACATCTTCAAGAAGATACTGAGATACAATGTGGGGTAAAACAACACAAAAATGTAATGAATATTTCGTAAAGTTCTTCAACAAAAGCATATAAATGTCATCTTTATGAGGGCTGATACACGAAAGAGGGATTGAAATCGGCTTGTATGATTATCAATCCTGAAAATATGCAGAGAGTGCAATTAATAAGTTTGTTAAGCTAAATGGAGAATAAATTATATATTGTGTGGAAGCACAAATTAAACCTAGTAACTTTTTTTTTTCGGTTACAATTAAACCTAGTAACTTTGAAAAGGAAGAAAATGAACAAATTTGATTATCCAAATATGCTATTTGTCATTATATATATGGATAGGAGCAGCCAGAAGACAAATGCTATTTGAAAAACAACAATATAATATTTGACATATAATCATATTCTCTGTTTCATCAGTCATTCAAAACTTCCCTTTAAAGCCAATTTTAAACAGAGTAAATAAAGTCCAAAAAGTCAGTTTCCTTGAGATCAAAATCCTTCTGATTTTGTGCGGTAGCCGTAGTGGGTTGGACTTGAACGCACATTAGCGTCACGTGCATGGAATGGATCGAAATCTTAACTTATTCTAATCCTAACCAATTTTTATCAAACACCTTCTCTGCTACTTGAGCTAATTCCTACAGCATACACTGAAATTATGCTTCCAAGAGTATCAAGTAAATCTGAATACACTTAACTATGAGCAAACCATGCGTATATGGTAAATAAAAATTCATGAAATGAAGTGGAAAACTCATGTACCTGACGGATAACAGTGGTGGATATGCACATTGTGGATGATGACATTGCTTATGTACTGCCATGTGATGCAGCCACAACCCACAATGTGGACATTGGCTCCACGGCCATCAAGGGTCTTGCAGCTGTTGAAGATGAGCTCTTGGGAGAGCTTGATGAGCATGTTGCCAGGGAACACAATCCAGAGAGGCTCAGTCTGTATCACAGCATATCTCAGAGTGCCTGGCCTTGGATTCACAGCATCATCATTAGAAGAGTCTGTGACAATATAATACTCACCACCTTTGCCTCCAAGAGCATATTGGCCAAACCCAATTGCACAATCTGCTAAGCTCTGCCTGTTGTCTGGCCAATTTGGGTCACATTCCCAACAGTCATCTATTGGGTTTTCGGTTAGGCATGAAGAGTCCTAGTATTTTTGGGTTCCTTGCAGCATTTGCCTTCTTGCCAAAGAAGCATAAACCTTCCTGAAAAATAAAGGGAAAAAAGAAGTAAAGATTGATAACTCAGATCTACAAAAGGCTGAGAAACAGAAGAAAACAGTGAAAAAAAAAACAGAGGAGGTAATTAAAGCTATGTATTTTACCTATGAACTTCTTGAACAACAACTTCCGGGTTGGGATGTTGGCCAGGAAGAGTGAGGTTGAGGAATGCTGTGGCGAGAGAAGAAAATGAGCAGAGAAGAAAGAGCAGGGCAATGCAGGTAATACAACAAATTTTACAGCTTGCTATACAATTGC